CGGTAAACTGTACCTGGGCTTGTTGCAGTGACCTGAAGTTACTAAACTTCATGAGTGTATGCGCTCACTCCAAGAACCGTATGATTATAAATATGAGCGTGGTGAAAGTTGGGCAGCACGCTGACGTATTTTGTCCCTCTGTGCTCGTAAGGGTCTGACCCTTTCACTCCTTTGATTTTTTTCCTCGTATCTTATCTTTGACTTTTCATCAAGTCTGTCTTTGTACAGACCGGCATTGTTCTCCTTCGTTTTGTACATACCTTTTTGGGGGGCAAAGAAAAAGCAAGAATTTATTGGAACCGGAGAATGAACGTTTTGCGGTGCTGCAAATGCTTGCATTTGATGCGGTACTTGGATTGTTTTGCCACGAGTTACCGGCATGCAATGCGCGAAAGTCATGTGGTCTGTCAATCTCTATAGGGCTTTGGAGTGGACGTAATGCCGCAATGCATTGTGGGAGCACGGCGCCATTTGAGAAGGCCACGAATCAAAACAAACACACTGTGTTGGAAGGACGACTGCCAGAACCATGCTTAAAATCAGCTCAAAAGTCAAATGACTGTATCGAGAGCGATTGAGCCCGGACGCCAAGAGACTGTACTTGGAAACAATAGCATGCATCGGTTGTGGACCCGTATAAAATACGGCAGTGGAGTAGAAACCCTGGAGACCTTCCACCATTGTCCTACCCTAATACCTTGTCGTACCTTGTCTGTGGAGTCAGCGCATACACTGCAAATCATTTTTGGAATTATAAATCCCTGGAGGTGCACATCTAATTCGCAGACGGTTGGGTACAAGATTTGGCCATTTTTAAGCCTCCACGTTGTGAGTAGGTTGACTATATGACCAAGATACAGCCAGAGGTCGCACATAACATTGACTTCTCCTCAGCAGCTGCCCCAAAAATTGCTCTAGATGAGAACATAAACACACCGCCTGCACTGAAAGGCAAAAGGAGCCGTCCGCAAAAAAGGCAAATTCCACCTGCTAGTCTGGAGGAGTTGTCACTGATAAGCTACTCCACAAACAGAACATAATTCTGCTGGATCACACATTAGGATGTTTGAGCCTATAAAGAGCAATATGAACATACTGAAATGAAAATGTCGGGAGCACATCAACAAAAAATAATGGCAGAAAACTCAATATCAGCTCGTCTCACCGCTGCTATCAAAGCCTGACGTCTTCATTTGGTAACATACATGAGATCCCTCGCGTTGCTTCCAGCAGGGGAAACGATAAAAAGATTATTCCTTATTCCCTTCCCAATCGTGCAATATAACATTGCAACCGACAACACAGCAAGTGCGAGCCATAGCTGATGTTTCCATGTGCTGTTGCTCCTGTAGCCCTTTGTTTGGCCTACTAACATGGCGGCTCAACCCAAAATCGTGGCCACGCCCCCTCCCGTGACGTCAACTCCAAAGCCCTATTCACAGTTGCAGCAAAGAATTGTTAAAAGTAAAAAACAGCAGCACACATCAGGACCATTTTAAAAGATTACAGATTACTTCTTTTTTTTTTTTTTAGTTAATTCAAATTCTATTTAACTTCTACTTTTGGCTCCTCCTTTCATTTGAGTGTATTTACTGTATCCTTGAAGTCCAAATGTTGTTTTATGATCCACATGTTCAGGAGCTGCTGATTTCTGCTTGTTGATTTTAAGTTTGTATTGTCAAAGCATTAGTTAAATTTGATTAATTCTGTGTAAAGTTCTTGTTATTAAACAGTTCGGTGTGAAAATAAACAACTGGTCTCACAACAAATAGCTGGAGTCATGATTTTAGATTCCAACTAATGTAACTGTTTTCAGTGGCACAGGTGGAGGTTTATTCAGGGGAGGAGATTTGGCTGTTCTCCACTCCACTCCACAATGCTAAAAGGATGAGGTTTCCTTCAAACGTGCAATTAAAATGTGTTAAAACAAACTACTGTAATGAATGTGGGAGAGGCTTCCCCACCCCAAGTGAATTAAAACGACATGAACTCCGTCACAGTGAGGTTAAAAAGCACCTCTGTGACCAGTGTGGGTCATCCTCGGTCATCTTAAAAACATAAATGAATCCACACAGTAGAGAAACCATACAAGTACAGATGCTGTGACAAAAGCTTCCCATGTTCATCTGGTTGTAACATGAATAGAATAGAATTCAACTTTATTTTCATTGCACATGTCATAAGTACAAAGCACCGAAATGTACAAACTTCACACAATACACACACACACACACACACACACACACACACACACACACACACATATATATATATATGCACACACACGTACATACATACATAATTGTCTCGCCCCTGCGTGTGGTCTGTTCTTTGAGGGTCCTGTTCAGTATCTTGGCTGTTCAGAGATCTGTGATGTTGTTCCTGGGAAGGCTGTACCAGTGGCTGTCCAAGTTGCAAGTTTTGTTTTCATTTGTGGTATTTCAAAAATTTTATTTTCCTGGGTCTTGGTATTGTTTTGTATTTGTGCTATCGGGACAAGCCTGCTGTAATCAGCACTGTCCAGCTTCACTCATTTTCTCCTGGATTGTAGCTATTGGCCGTTGCCCTTTTGTTGGTCCATGTGATGAAAAACACAAACAAGATCTGATTTTGTAGGAAACACCACAGATTATTACTCTGAATGGTATTTCCCTGGACTCCAGTTCAATTTTTGAAACAAACTTCAAGTTGGATATTACACATCTCAGGGACCGCCTTCTTTCATTGGGATATCCATTTCATCACATCTTGACTGCTTTAATTTAATCTGGATGTCAAAATAAGGCTTTGAAATAACTTTTTAGGTTCATTTAATAATCATTAAATGAGAAGTCTGGAAAGCAGAAAATCCTGGTGGGATGGGAGTCTCAGCTGTACTAATATTGCCACACTAACATGCTTAAACTACAGTAGCTGCTTTTGGCTGTTCCCTTGTTCCACAGATTTCTTTGGGTAGCTTTTATTTTTAATGCCGGACGCTCTCCCTGAAGCACATCCAAAGGCATTTGTCTCTTTCCTCAGTGGAAACAGTGATCTTCTGATGTGTGAACTATTATGGCATTGGAACCACCAGAAATACACTCACGGAAAAATGTATCACCATTCAAAGTGTGTTAGCCTGCTGACCTCCAAAAGTTGATTCTGTTCATCTGGATGTTTTCAGTGGGAGAAACGTTTCGTCACTCATCCAGGTGACTTCTTCAGTCTCAGCTGACTGCAGGTTTCCCCAAATCTTATAAACAGTACATTTGCATAATGACTGAAACCAATCATTATGCATAGTCATTATAAGATTGGGAAAACCTGCAGTCAGCTGAGACTGAAGAAGTCACCTGGATGAGTGACGAAACGTTTCTCCCACTGAAAACATCCAGATGAACAGAATCAACTTTTGGAGATTTACTTTCCTGGATAATTGGGAATGCATCAAGACATTAGCCTGCTGACATTAATATGTGTCAAAGCACTACGTATGGAAGCAATTTTCACACGGTATTCCTTAGATTATCTCAGAGGTTACATTCTGGGACCCCTGTGATTGGTGAAAATCTGCATAGTAGAAACCAGATCTTTATTTTATTATTATTATTTTTTATAGATAGTAAGCCATGAAAACCCTCCCCACTTTCTTACACACCCGATTATAACCCTGTTAAATTTTTTGGCAAGTAGTATGCAGTAGTTTATTTTGTCTTTTTATTTGTCCTTTCTGTTTTATTGAAACCACTTTATAGAAAGTTACATCGGTTACAATGAACTATACATACAACCAGTAGCGGTTTTTGATACGGGCGACATGGGCGGTTGCCCGGGGCGGCATCACGGGCATCGGCAAACAAAAAAAAGGCACGATCGGTTTGCTGAGAGGAAGGGCGCCCTCCCTTTGTGAGGTGCGCCTGCTGCTTGCGGCACAGGGGGGAGAGGGCGGGGCGACGACGATTCTCTGGCTGGCTGGAGCAGCATCTAATAACCAACTTGCAAAATAAAACAAAATAAAAACAAACCAACAGACACAAAAACACCAGACATCATGATACAAACTTATAATTTGCACCGATGGGTTTTCAAAGTTCTATAAAGTGAGCGCGAGAGCCCTCGGTCATCTCTGCTACATACAGTCCAGTATATACGGGACGACGAGGTTTCAGTTACAGCAGTGCCGGAAAACAAACAATAAATATAAGAAGAGTAAGAAAGCAAATATAGACTTTATTACCAGGGGTAAAGGGATCAAAAACAATTTGTAATTTACAGTTTGATTCTTGGGGTCCTTAGGGACTAGTAAGGCGCTATATAAATACAGGCCATTTACCATTTATTTACCATTTAAAGTCTCACACACAACACATCGAAAGGGGAGGGGGCCCGGCTGCTTCCAAGTAGAGCACATTTCATTTATAATGTTGTAAATCCAAGCCCATTATGTATTCATGATTTGAATCCTGGGTTGTGCGAAATCCCAGAAATAAACCTTAGACAAAGGGAGTGTTCGCCCAGGGCACCAAACAGGCTAGGACGGCCACTGCATACAACACAGCAGTTTTAAGAATATTTAACAAGAGCAAGTTTCATTTCGCCCTGGTTTCACAGCCACACTTGGGCACATATTTACCAAAATGCAGCAAACCTTAACTTATCCAGCATCGTTACACGTTCACCCTCACGTGGAAGAAGTAATCTGATTGGCATTGTGGTATGTAGCATTTTGAGGAAGTAATCGGTAAATGATAAACTACTGATTACTTGCTCGACTTGAATTCTCAGGTTGGCAATAGCTCTCGTTTCTTCAACGTCCCTGGCATCAAGTTGACAGAAGCCTTTTTTAAATGCAGGGATCTTAACGCAGCTCTTCGTCTGTCACTTCTTCACGGGGCTCTCCTTCAGACTCTGCAGCTCCATTACGAAAGCCTGTAAGATACAATATGTGCATACACATAAAGCGTGTTCACTTGTCCTGTACGTCTCAGCTTTTGCTCTTCTCTTCTCTCTGGTCTCTCGCTTCACTAAAGGGGAAAGAGGTTGTCATTAGTTCAAATGCCACCAGCTCTGTCCTCACCTGCCTTCCCAGCACCGCCCCCACCCGTCGCTGCACCACTCCTCCCCTGCAGCTGAGTCAGGGACCACACCTCCGTCACAGCCTTCAAGCGCACATTCACATGACTCCCTGCTATTCAAAACACAGTTTGTTTGATGTAATATTCAACACTGAACTGTAAATTTAGTCTTTTTCAAGGAAGCAATTTTATTCTTTTATTTTCAAAAAAGCCATATTTTTATACATCTACTGCAACACACATGAGCTTTAAGACCTGGACAAGTTTGAAACCTTTTGTCCTCCACAGTGGAAAATGGCTGAAAGTTCCAACCCCTACTTTGATAAATTTTTCACTCAGCTTTGACGTCTCCAATATCACTGAGATGCACATTTTATGTTTTCGCTTGTTTCTTCACTTTTCCCCGTCTCTCTGTGTTCTGGCCTGTAACATTACAGAACATCTGCCCCGCTTCCTTCAGTCACATGATGGTATGATCCCAGCCCTGCTGAGAATTCATGCCTCCAATAAAATAATTAATGTAACACTTCAGTGGGACGAATGTGTTATTTTTAATGTCTGCATTTAGTTTATAAGTAATCAATCTGCTCAAGTAACAACAATGATGACGACCAACACTTTGAAATGAAACTTTACTCTCAGCACTAAATGAGCGACCTGGATGTTCTGTGCCTTTCAGAAAGGACTCTGTCAGTGACCTCTGACCTCTGTGCGGGGGTGTGTCTGAAGGATTTCCCTCCTCACTGACTTTCTTTTGCTGCTCTTCTTTGTGTCTTTATAAACTGGTGGTGTTGCCACAGCAGAAACTTTTCTTCACACACACATGGCTGTTTTTATTTACAGCTGTGAAATATCTCCACATGCTGCTCCTCTTTCTCACTCTCTGCAGCCCAAAATGTATTTTCTTCAGGGCAGCCGAGTCACGTGATCGCACCGGACGAATCAAAGCAGATCAGGAAGAAGGGGGCGGAGCAAAGTGTGTGCGCAGGAGAGGAGTCGAGCAGAGAGAGCTGCTTTTTCATGAAACGGGAGAAAAGTAGTGAACTTAGAGGAGAGAAACAAACTAAAGTATCGATCATAAACCACTACCAACGTCCTGATCGATATCTGCATCGATCTGCCCACCCTTGTCTCCTGGATCGTAGCTGAGATCAGCGTGAACCACGTGGGTCTCTGCTCCCTGATCTGTTTCCTGTGTTTGGAAAGAGTTGCAGCTTCATCGCGGAGTTTCTCTCGGTTTGTGGGCTCATCTAAAGGTAAGCACCGAGCTAACTTTACTGTGAGTTCAGTTCATGTTGAGTTTAGCTCCTGAATGAGGTCTTCTGCTGCTCTCCTCGGTGTCTGTTCACAGTTTATTGTGAACACGTTGAGAGAAGAGTGAGAGAGTGTTTGGAGAAAAACACCAACTAATCATTAGCTCAGCATGCTGGGAGAAGTTGGAGCAGGAAAGTCTTTTCATTGTCCCTGCAGCTGTTTTTCTGCCTGCACCAAACCTCTACAGCCTCGTTTCTATTTGAAGTGATAACAGGAAACCAGAGCGATCTGCTGCAGTATCAGGGTCACTATAACTTTATTGTCCAGCTGCTGTGGATGAACACATGAGAGGAAGTGAGCGATAAAATGAAATAAGAAAAGTTATAGATTGACATGGGTGAGAGTTGTTTATACAGACATTGTGGAAGGCAGCATGCAGGAATGAGGGAGTAAGTAGGGCGAATATCAGCAGCCTTTACAGACAGTTGCATCAGTCCACTGCTTCAGTGTCTTCACCAGAGATGGGCAGTTACAAGTAATGTGTTACTGTAATCTGATAACTTTTTTCAAGTTATTTTAAATGTTAAACAAATTTCTTCCAGTCAGTGAATGTTGCATATAATTAAATTTTGCTCGATGCATAAAGTTAAAAGATTAAAACTAATAAAACAAATTTTAAAAAGAGACTTTTCCACTTGATGACATTATATATGATGGACTCGCTGTCGCTTTATCACCTATTCAGGGTGTAAATCATGTTCTTAAAAAGTAACTAATTACTGTCAAAAAATAAGTAATCGGTAAAGTAACGGGATTACTTTTGGTGGGAAGTAATCATCAATTAGTTACTGATTACTTTTTTTCAAGTAATTTGACCAACACTGGTTTTCACAAAAGAGAGTTTTAGTTTGTGCCTGCTTGCAGGGATCAAGTCTGACATTTAGTCTGAGTAGATTTGAACTTTCCTTCATCTTGCTTTGACTGCAGCTGTAACAACACTGATTCCAGCAGGATTTGTAAAAAGCATTTTGACAGACACACAAAGCTGGACAGCTTTTGTTCTGAGGGTTTGGAGAGAGCCTGTCTGTGTGTCTGCATTCACTTTGTTCCTCTAACAGAAAATCAATGGGCAGATGTTGATTCCTGCAGTGACTGTTGTTCTTCAGCCTGTAGAAACCATCCTGCAGCTGCTGGAACAAATGAATCTTCTAAATGTTGCTTTCTCTGGTTTGTGTTTGCTCTGCTTCTTTTTGTCAGAGATCAAATACATAAAAATATTCTTTTGTGTCCCAGCTGATCAGCAGGAGGAGAATCTGACAGAGGAACATTTTCAGCCATTTGGACTCAGCTCAGCCACTACAGAGGAAACAATGAGCTCAACACAGATGGTGAGAAAAATATCTGTTACACTGTTATTGAAACTGTGCACAGCTGGTTGTTAACAGCAGCTTTATCTTTTCCATCCTGGGCTCCTCCATACATACAGAAGCTACATTCACAAATAAAAACCACAGGAGTTACAAGAAAGGACAAAGATCATTTTTTATCAGGACACTGAAATAAAATATAATCAGCTGCACTTATAATTTTTTCAGATGGTATATCTTTTTTTCCCAATGAGCAAAACAATTTCCTCATTGTCATTTTGATTACAGACGCAGTTTCAGTTTGTTCCACGACTGCATTTCACTCACTGCCTCTGTTTGTATCTCTGTCACTGCAGGACCAACATGGAGCGAGAAGTCAGCGCTCTCAGGAGGCTGACAAACCTCACAGAAGAAAGGGGGAGAAGAAATACAGCTGTGATGAGTGTGGGAAGAATTTTACTCTGAAGTCTGAGCTAAAACATCATCTGTTCATCCACACTGGGGAGAAACCATTCATCTGTGACTTGTGTGGAAAGTCTTTTAGACAGCCTGCAAACTTAAAAAAACACCAAGTCACCCACACTGGAGTTAAAGCGTACAGCTGTGATCAGTGTGGCAAAGCTTTTACTGTCAGAGGCAACTTACGGCGTCATCAAGTTACCCACTCTGAAACTAAGACGTACAGCTGCGACATTTGTGGGAAAACTTTCACTCATCTAACATACCGAAATACTCACCTACGCATCCACACCAGGCAAGATGTTTACTGCTGCGATCAGTGTTTGAAACCGTTTGTGACATACTATGAATTACAGCAGCACATGCTTACCCACACTGAGGAGAGACCTTATAAATGTGACCTGTGTGAGAAGGCTTTTAAAGAGCCAAATTCCCTGAGAAGACACGAACAGATCCACAGCAGAAAGAAACTCTACAAGTGCAGTTACTGTGAGGTTTGTATTTATATTTCTATCTTGTCATTTTCAGCTGACTGTTCAGAACAACTCTGCTCATTCAGTTGTTAGTATGTTGGCAATTCTCCTGCATGTGAAGGCAGCGCTGCGTGAGTTTCAGCTCTTATTTCATTGCTCAGCTTAGTTCTCCACACTCTGGACTCTCTGCTCGGTTCAGCTGGTTTTCCTGCTGCTCTGTAAAGTCAGCAACTCGCCCAGTCCTCCATGTGTGATGTCTTGTGAACCTTAATGTTCCATCCATGACCTGTTCAACCTGCAGTAATTACTCATTAACATCTAACTTCAGTCTGCTACCTGCTATGGTAAAGACAACAGATGGCAGATGCCACCAATTCAATTCAATTCAATTTTATTTATATAGCGCCAAATCACAACATAAGTCGCCTCAAGGCGCTTCATAGATACAGAGAAAAAAACCCAACAATCATATGACCCCCTATGAGCAAGCACTTTGGCAACAGTGGGAAGGAAAAACTCCCTTTTAACAGGAAGAAACCTCCGGCAGAACCAGGCTCAGGGAGGGGCGGCCATCTGCTGCGACCGGTTGGGGTGAGAGAAGGAAGACAGGATAAAAGACATGCTGTGGAAGAGAGACAGAGGTTAATAACAGATATGATTTAATGCAGAGAGGTCTGTTAATACATAGTGAGTGAGAAAGGTGACTGGAAAGGAAAAACTCAATGCATCATGGGAATCCCCCGGCAGCCTATGTCTATTGCAGCATAACTAAGGGAGGATTCAGGGTCACCTGGTCCAGCCCTAACTATATGCTTTAGCAAAAAGGAAAGTTTTAAGCCTAATCTTAAAAGTAGAGATAGTGTCTGTCTCCTGAATCCAAACTGGAAGCTGGTTCCATAGAAGAGGGGCCTGAAAACTGAAGGCTCTCCCTCCCATTCTACTTTTAAATACTCTAGGAACAACAAGTAGGCCTGCAGAGCAAGAGCGAAGTGCTCTAATAGGGTGATATGGTACTACAAGGTCATTGAGATAAGATGGGGCCTGATTATTTAAGACCTTGTATGTGAGGAGCAGGATTTTGAATTCAATTCTGGATTTAACAGGAAGCCAATGAAGGGAAGCCAAAACAGGAGAAATATGCTCTCTCTTTCTAGTCCTGTCAGTACTCTTGCTGCAGCGTTTTGGATTAGCTGAAGGCTTTTCAGTGAGTTTTTTGGACATCCTGATAATAATGAATTACAGTAGTCCAGCCTGGAAGTAATAAATGCATGAACTAGTTTTTCAGCGTCACTCTGAGACAGGATATTTCTAATTTTAGAGATGTTGCGCAAATGGAAGAACGCAGTCTTACATATTTGTTTAATATGTGCATTGAAGGACATGTCCTGGTCAAAAATGACTCCAAGGTTCCTCACAGCGTTACTGGAGGCCAAGGTAATGCCATCCAGAGTAAGAATCTGGTTAGATACCATATTTCTAGGCTTTTCAGGGCCGAGTACAATAACCTCAGTTTTATCTGAATTAAGAAGCAGAAAGTTAGCGGCCATCCAGGTCTTTATGTCTTTAAGACATTCCTGCAGTTTAACTCATTGGTGTGTGTTATCTGGCTTCATGGACAGATAGAGCTGGGTGTCATCTGCATAGCAGTGAAAATGTATGCTATGTCTTCTAATGATGCTGCCTAAGGGAAGCATGTATAATGTAAACAGAATTGGTCCTAGCACTGAACCCTGTGGAACTCCATAATTAACCTCAGTGTGTGAAGAGGACAGTATACCCTCCTCACTGGTCGCTTTGCCCGCTTCAGCATCATCACAGTCAGTTTTATTTATGACACCATTAGGGTGCAGGAAGCTGCTACAGTTTTGTCCTGAGCAATAGGTATCACCACTCAGACAACACCACAAAAGTAGAAGCAGATTTCTTTCTTTTTTTTTTCTCCACAGAGTCTCAGGTTTGTGTTGCAACATCTCCTTTGGATGATGCTTTGGATAAAAATGTTGAAGCAATTCCCTGACTTACACTGTGTTTGTGTCTTTGTTTAGAAGCAGAGCGACACAGATGGATCCAGTTCTCAACCGTGTCGCCACTGTGGTGGTGGGAAAGCGTTGCGTTGTGATCTTTGTGGAAAAACTTTCAATAATGAAAAGAACCTAAAGCTACATCAACGTAGACACACTGGAGACAAAATGAACTACTGCAAAGAATGTGGGAGAGGCTTCCCCACACCAAGTGCATTAAAAGAACATGAAATCTATCACAGTGGGGTTAAAAAGCACGTGTGTGACCAGTGTGGGTCATCCTTCACCACTGCAGATCATCTTAAAGTGCATAAACGAGTCCACACAGGAGAGAAACCGTACAAGTGCAGACACTGTGACAAAAGTTTCTCGTACTCAGGGAGTCGTAACAATCATGAACTTACACACATTGAAGGGAACTACAGCTGTGACCAGTGTGACAAAAGCTTCAAGAATCTCAGTTCATACTCCAAACACAAGCGATCCCACGCTGTTAACAAACTTTTTCACTGTTACCAATGTGCAAAAACATTCACTTCATTATCTGCTCTACGCAACCATCGACGTGATCATGCAGGACTGTGATCACTGGATCACAATGAATCTGCAGAGACAGAAAGATCCTCTTCTGGTTTCAGGGTCAGACTTAAAAACCTTGAGATCAGGCTCCACAGAGTTCAGGTGGAGTCTCCTGTAAAGAGTGCAGCTGATGTCACACTTGGATCTGATGAGGTAGCTCTGCTTTCTGGAGCTGCAGTGAATAATCCTGGGGTTTATTTAGGAAGCTGCAAGTATAGATGTGTACATCAAGTTTTTTTTCCTTTGAGGGATTTTAATATTCTACAATGTTATCCCTGTTACATTTTAATCTTTGTTCTCTTAGGATATAAAGGTTATAGGAATACATTTTATTTTATATTACCAAACTGACATGTTTCTAAACTGCAGATGTGCATAGAAACATTATTTTTTTACATTTCATTTTAACTGCGTTTTTTTTTGCTTTTCCCCCCCAAATCTACTGTTTCACTGTTACCAATGTGCAATTATGTTCATTATCTGCTCTGTGCAAACATCATCATGACAATGGCAGAAATCATTCCTATCATTGGATCATAATGAACCCTTCAACTGACGGGGAGCTTGTGCCATCCTTGCAGGAGTCCACTCTGCAGGTGGGGGAGAGGTGAGAATAAACTTAACCTGGGTGTCTACTGTCTTGTGCAGTCTTGGAGATGATTGAATGTTAGGGTGGGGGAGCTGGCCCCAGGGAGGGGCATCTTGCTCCTCCCTTCTTTTCCTCCCCATCCCCGGCTGCCTCCCTCTTCCCGCTCCAACACACCCACACAAGTAGGGCCTTGGGGTGCGGGTGTGTCACCAGGGG